TGGTTAAAGTGTGCTATATGTCCATAAAAGAGAATTCTTCCACATTCCTAGAACCAATGGATGGACTACTATGAGAAGTGGTATTGGCTACCAACTTGGGCTGTCTTCAAAAAAGAATAGGACAAATCCATGTAAGTCATGTGGATTAATGGCTATTAGCCTAGATGGCAACATGACTGCATCTGAAGACCATCTGCTGAGAGACTAATGGGCTTTTTTGTGCAGTTGGTTGGCCATTGTAAGAACAGACTGCTGGACTAGATGGGTCAGGGCTCTGATCCAGTAGAGCATTGCTTATGCTCTTTCTTCTCTTCTTTGAGAGAGGGATCTTGGAGTCCTAGTGGACAATCACTTAAATATGAGCCAGCAGTGTGCTGCAGCTGCCAAAAAAGCCAACACAGTGTTAGGCTGTATTAACAGAGGGATAGAATCAAGATCACGTGAAGTGTTAATACCACTTTGCAATGCCTTGGTAAGACCACACTTGGAATACTACATCCAGTTTTGGTCACCACAATGTAAAAAAGATGTTGAGACTCTAGAAAAAGTACAGAGAAGAGCAACATAGATGATTAGGGGACTGGAGGCTAAAACATATAAGGAACAGTTGTTGGAATTGGGTATGTCTCTAGTTTAATGAAGAGAAGGACGAGGGGGGCCATGATAGCAGTGTTCCAATATCTCAGGGCTGCCACATAGAAGAGGGAATCAAGCTATTCTCCAAAGCACCTGAAGGCAGGACAAGAAGCAATGAATGGAAACTAACCAAAGAGAGAAGCAACCTAGAACTAAGGAGAAATTTCCTGACAGTTAGAACAATTAATCAGTGGAACAACCTGCCTCCAGAAGCTGTGAATGCTCCAACACTGGAAGTTTTTAAGAAGAGACTGGACAGCCAATTGTGTGAAATGGTATAGGATTTCCTGCCTGAGCAGGGGATTGGACTAGATGATCTCCAAAGTCCCTCCCAAGTTTTTTATTATTATGGATCATCGCACAGTCAGCCAGATGTTCAGACTGGATTTGGCATTTTGTCTACCTATCGAGTCCTTACCCAGGACCTGGGATAGGCAGATGTGGATGTTTGATGGTATTACAGGTATCGTCGCAGGATGGAAGCAGTTCCTAATAAGGCCGCCTTTTGCAATTGACTAATAGCGAATTTGTCAATGACAATGGTGTTCAAGTGGTGCTCCAGTTGTTTTGGGATTGCACCCAAGGAGCCTATTACTATTGGTACTACCCTTGCTTGCTTTTGTCACAGTCTTTCTATTTCTATTTGTAGGTCTTTGTATTTTGTTATCTTCTCCAGTTCTTTCTCTTCTATTCTGCTGTCTCCAGGCACTGCCACGTCCACTATCCAGACTTTTTTGTCCTTCTTATCGACAATTGTTAAGTCTGGGGTGTTATGTTGCAGGTGCTTGTCTGTTTGAATTCTGAAGTCCCAGAGCAGTTTAATTTATCATTTTCTATGACTTTCTCTATTTTATGATCCCACCAGTTTTTGCTTACAGGCAAATGATATTTTTTGCAGATCTTCCAATGCACCATTGTTGTACTTTGTCATGCCGCTGCTTGTAATCAGTTTGTGCAATCTTCTTGCAACAGCTTACCAAGTGGTCCACTGTTTCTTCAGCTTCTTTGCATAGGCGGCACTTACTGTCTGTTGCTGTCTTCTCAATTTTGACTTTGTATGCATTTGTCCTTAAGGCTTGGTATTGTGCAGCCAGAATTAGTCCCTCGGTCTCTTTCTTCAATTTTCCTGCTCTTAGCCATTGCCAGGTCTTGTTATTATCTGCTTTCCAAGCTATTTTTTAATGTATTGGCCATGTAGTGCTTTGTTTTCCTATGCCTCTATTCTGTTCTTCATTTGGTCTTTCTTGTAGGCCAGTTTGGTCTCTCCAGTAGTCAGTAAGCCTTCCTGATATACTAATTTCAGTGCATCTTCATCATTGTTCTTCAGATATTCTTCCAAAGCCATTTTTTCTTCTTCAACCATCTGATGTACTTGTAGCATTCCACGCCCACCTATTTGCCTTGGTACATAAAGTCTGTCAATGTCACTGCGTGGATGAAGGGCGTGATTCATTGTCATTATTTTTCTGGTCTTCCTATCCATTGCTTTTAGTTCTGTTGTTGTTGTTGTTGTTGTTGTTGTTGTTATTATTATTATTATTATTATTATTATTATTATTATTATTTCTCCCCTTCTTTCTTTCTTTCCTTCTTTCCTTTCTTACTCTTTAGGGCCATTTGGAGGATTACAACATATGTTGCAATTTGCATGCAAAAAAAGCAACAAAAGAGCTACATGGTATACATTTATGCATTACAGAGTTTAGTTCTTTCAAATTATCATAATCTGGATTAATATAGGTTAAGAGTGTAATGCAGATAGAGTAATGCATGGAATAATTTTAAAAAGTCAAGGCCTCATAAATCTTCACTAGCTATTTGGATATGCAAATAATCATGTTTCCTGCTTAATTTTTGCCAGACTCTATATCTCAGTTATGGGAGCTCTCTATTTTTGTCTGCCCTTGATCCTTAAGTGGCAATATAATTCTGTCTCACTGTGAACATATAATTTTGTCTCATTGTGAACATTCTACACTTGTAAGGTAACCTCAGATTTCCAACCTCAAACAGAAGAGTGTCAACGCTGCTAACATCGGATATTCTTGCTTTGACCATAGATGAAAATGCAGCCATTTTCTCTATGCTTTTAGAATTAGTTGGTGCTGGGATGGGGGATTGGAATGAGAGTTCAGTTAGTCATAATAATAATAACTCTGCCGTGGGAATCCAAGGACAAACTGGGTCCAGAGCTGATAACGTTTTGGCGGGCTGGAGAGCTGGAGAGAAAGACCGCGCTTCAAGCTAATTGGGGAATGTGATTTATAACTGTTTATTGGGGTGGGTTACTTTGTTACTTTGTATCCAGGAGAGGGGAATTTAGTTTTGGGGTTCAACTATGTAGTGCTGATATTTTGTTTCCTGAATAAAAAATTCTTTAAGGAAAATAATGCCTCAAAGTTCTTTTGATGGGTTTCATCTGTCGGAACCATGACAAAGAGTTTTGGGATTCATCTAGATGCAACCTCCCCAAAATGCAACGTGAATTACATTAAGGAAAAAAAGTCAGCCAGTTTGGTTGCACTTTCCTTGCCTACAAACTATACAAAACCAAACCCAGTCATGTCTGTGAAGTGAATGGCAAGTCATGCTACCAAGTAAAAAGTATGTGTAGCAAACATGGCCAAAAATAGAGGAAAGTTGTATTCTTTTCCAAACATTACCACAGAACTGCTATACAACTTCAGACATCTTCCCTCTATTTCCTTTCCATTAATTTTAGCTCAAATGTTTCGCATTATCCCACCATTCTAAAACAGTTTATATTAAACTTCGTAAATCTGAGGCTATTCAACCCATTCACTTACAACATATTCCAGCATCACTTAGTCAATGAGGTTATCTAAATCTCATTATTATTATAACATCAGAAAAATGATGACATGATAATACTAAAAGAAGCTATAAATCTAAAATGAGCAAATGGCTCTAGTAATTATTTTCTGGGAACTGATTATTCCAGTGTTCTGGAAAGAGGCTCAAAGTTTCAACAACGTCTATGGAAAGAACATACTTTCATATCAGGCATCAACTCAAATATGAATTATGCTAAAATCCTGGCTTAGTATGCAGAATTATAGCTTGAGGCTTTGCCATCTGAAATCACAGAATCATAGTGTTGGAACAAACTTTCAGGTCTTCTAGTACCACGCCTTGTCCACAGCAAATCTCAAGTAATGGATCACCCATTAGGAAGCAGGCAGTTTCACAAACTGTTCAAACAGCAAAAAATTCTTCCTTCGAGTTTGGTAAAGCTTCCACTCATTGGTTCTTGTCCTATCCTTGAGCACTATGAAGAATAAATCCTCTTCCATGAGACAGCCCTTCAAAAATGGAAGGCCACTATCATGTCTCCCCTTAGTATTCTTTTTTTAAAGCTATATGTGCCCTGCTCCTTTAACTATTGTTCCAAGATTCTTATTATCTTTGCTGCTATTTTCTGCACTCTTTCCACTTCTTCAGCATTCTTTTTGAACTGAGGCAAGTGAAATTGGATGAACTGGTGCAGCATAGAACTATCACTTCTCAATATACCTCTATTGATAAAGTTTAAGATTGCATTTCCTGGTTTTGCAGCTGCAGCATGCGTAATTCATGCTTAATCTGTGTTCTACCAGGACATAAAATCCTTATCACAAGTACTGCTGCTAAGCCAAATGTGCCGTATTTCATGCACATGCATCTGACTTTACATTTCTTACTACTGACCTGCATATTGTAGAATAGGGCCCAATGTTAAAGTCTATCAAGATTCTTTTGAATCTTGAGTCTATCTTCTGACGTTTTAGAATCCCCCAAGTTTTGTGTTGCCTGCAAATTCAATGAGCATCCTCCCATCCAATTCATTTATGAAAATCTTGGAATATTGAGTCCAGGACAAAATCTCAAAGAACCCCACCATATAATTCCTTCCATGTAGATATTAAGGACCAAGTGTTGGGTACAGTTGTTCAACTAAGTGTATTTGTCCCCTTTTACCAAGTTTTATGAAATGTCCTACCAAACTCAAAATGCACCACTCTCACAAGAATCCCTTGGACTACTGATTTATTAATTGACCTCCCAAAAAGCAATAAAATTTGTTTGGCATGACCTATTTTTAACAATACTATGCTGGCTTCTATTAATCACCTTGTTTCTTTCTTATAGTTTCTAGATCAATGTCTTTCACTATTACACCAAACTGTCTCTTAATTAAAAACACGGTGTATGGGAAATATTGTCAACATCTTCTCCTCTAAAATACAATATGCTTTTCAATTAAAATGGTATGCCTCTATAATACAGGATCATAGAAAAATGAGATGATATTTCCTCAATGGGGCAAACCCAAGCCCCTCTTGAATTTTGATTCTATAGATTACCTCACATGTAAGAGATCCTTAAGTTTTCCTTTTACACATTAGCAGGAAGGTAAGTGATCTTACCTCATCTACTTTCCCATCTTCTTTCACTCTATTATAAGGAGAAGAAATCCATTAGTTAAAATCTGTTGGTAATCTGTTGGCAGCAGTTGTTAGGTTTTGAGAATTCATCAGAAATGGGCTGCCAAAATGCACTGGAAACATTCTGTTTTATATCAATATCTGTTAAAATAGAGACAGCTTTAAATGAAATGAAAAGAATTTTGAGTCTCAGAAGTGAGTAGTCCTTGACTTATGACAATTGCGACTGGAACTTCCCTCTGTCAGTATAATGGAATGTGGGGATGACCTTGGGAAATGAGGGGAAGAGATGCTGCTTAGGAAACAATCAGACAAGAGAGAGAGAGAGAGGTGTTCCCTGTGGTTCCTTGTGGCCAGAGAAAGAAACTTAGGAAAGATCTGCCCTTAACTGATCAAGCAATTAAAAGTAGGGTTGGGAAATTTGTACCTTCAGACTTGCAAGATTCTGTTAATGTAGTCTTATAATAAAGTGAAATTAGCTCATCTAGTCGTGTTTCTGTCTGGTTTACCTGGGAGGACTGACATTAAACAAGGTGATCATTAAGTCAGTTGCATCAATTTTATGACTTATCAGGTATGTGTTATCTTGCTTCCCCCATTGACTTTGCTTGTCTAAAACCAGCTGGGAAGGTTGCAAATGGCAATCACGTGACCCCAGGATGATGCAACTGTCGCAAATACATGCCAGTTGCCATGTGCCTGGATTTTGATCTCATGACTGCAGGGATGCTGTGACAGTCATAAGTGCAAAGACCAGTTGCAAGTCACTTTTTTCAGTGCCATCATAACGTCAAGTAAGCACTAAATAAATGGTCATAAGTCAAGGACTACTCATTTCTCTTCCTCCATTTTGTTCAGATTAGAAACCAAGAATGTTATTGGTCAGAAAGATTTATCTGTTTTTCATCATTTTATATACATACTATTAAAATACTTCATTTGGTCAAGTGTGATTAGACACACAAGAATTTGCCTCCAGTGCAGAAGATCTCAGTGTGCATGCAAAGCAACAGAATAATGATTATGATAATAATAAGGGGAGTGAGAAGGATAAATAATAATGCTACAGCCACACTACTTGAGTAAATACACATAGACAGCACTGCAAGAATTAGGTGTTTAACAGAATGAGGGCCTGGGGGGGGGGGAACACTCTGCCTGTGTCTAGTTGTTTTGGCCTGCAAAGCCCTGTAGTGTCATCCCAAGGCGAGGAGTTGAAACAGTTTATGTCCAGGATGCAAGGATACCTTCTCAGCCTTCCTACTGACCTTTGCAATATATAGGTCTTCTATGAAAGGCAGGCTTTTCCTAGACAGTTTCATAGACCAGCTCTGTAGGATCTAAGAAAGTATATATTTTTGCTAACTAAAACACTCTAAAATAACTTGCTCTAAGGGAAAGCATATGTCAATTTCTCGAGATAAATATCCAGCAAAAACTCCCCTGTGACCCTTAATTCTGCAAACAAGCCTCTTGCTAGTTTATCAATAAAAGATGAAAAAACTACCGAGAAACCCAAATCATAGAAATCGCTGCTACAATATCCCAGATCTTGATCCACCTACATTCACACAAAGCAGATACACTTTAAGTCATCCAAAGCTACTTTCAAAGGGAGCAGTGTCAAACTGCATAAATTAAATAAATATACACATGTGCCAGTGGACTTCACTACCATGTCCATAAACAGTTCAAGGTTTTGTCTGAGAAAAAGCTTGTCTCTCCAATTTAAAAGAGACTTTAAAGTCAATTTCTCCAAAACATGATGTCCATGTCTCCATCAGCCGTTCACCCAGTAGGCTTTGTGCCAAATGCACTATACAGCTGCTAGGCAACTCTGGAAACTCAGCTAATGCCATTAAAGCAACAAACAAAAATCATTAGGCTTCACCCAAACCTGCTTAGCACTACAGATTTTTAAAGTTTGTACAATCTGGATGAGAGAAGATTGTAATGCTATCCTAGTCCTTGACCAGATATTGTATTTTAAAAGGATTCTGTAGAAAGAAATGCTGCTACAATATCAACATTACAGGATTACAACAATCCTGGACCGCCTTTTCCATCAAACAATATTGTGCATCCTTAAATTGATTTGCCCAATTTGTGAATACAGTGCTGTGATTTGTAAACCTGATTTATGGCTTAGTGAGTTGTGTGGATCTAGACAATGGAAGCTTGTTAAACAAAGTTTCACATAGCATATAGGCCAGTTGGTTTGTACACATACTATACATCTTTTGATTGAATGATGTCACAAAATTCAAAAGTGAGATCACAACCACATAGAGTCAGAAATCTGAAGGAAATTGCTAGTTGTCAAGTAGTAAAATAATAATTGCCAACACTTGGTAATTTTGTTGATGGCAGAGGAATGATGACAAGAAGGAGAATTATTTAGAAAACTCTTTTTTTTGTCCTTGAAATCATCTCATATTCCCCACTTTAGTACTATTTTATATTACAACTGATTGTTATAAATTGGATTTTAAAAAAAAGTTTTAGTGAATGCAGCCAGGAGTATTGTTCATACATAAAGACTAATCATTCTAGCCTCTGGGAAGGAAATCAAAAGATTTGAGTATCCTCTTTATTTCCAAACAACAGCAACATTTATTTAATAAATCTACACCGAAGAATGAAACCAGTCAGATTTTTAAGTATCCACAATATATTAAGATATAACTATAGACTGAAAACATAGACACATAGAAAGAAGGGGAGGGGGGAATGAAATTACATTTGCACCCTCCTACAGCTTCCTGCAGATAAGAATTCCTGGATTTGGGCCATCCAGTGTCACTCGGAAAGTATCTCAATATCCATATATTGAAAATGGAAGGCAAATATTTGCACGTACCAAGAACACACATCTGGGTTTTTTTATTTAAAAAAAAAAGCAACATTTACACTGAAACAATGGAAACAATCTCACAAAATGGAAAGGATATTCTGTAATGACTGGTGTGTTTTATGGAACTGTGAATTTATGAAATGGAAGATAAAAGTCAGGGGGCAGCAAAACATCCCAACATGAATATTTGATACTTTGTGATCTTCTCTTCTGTCCACAATCCCTTGATGTTACCAGATCAATTATCCACACTTTATTCTTTTCAACTACAGTTAAATCTGATGTGTTATGACTATTAGTTATCAGTTTGTATTTGGAAATTCCAGAGTTTATTATTTATTGTTTTAATGTTTTACTGTCTTTTAATGTTTGTAAGCCACCCAGTCACCTCTAGCTGAGATGGGTGGCATACAAGTCAAACAAACAAACCAACCAATGAACCTGACCATTCTCAACTCTGTTTCACACCAATTTTTCATTACTGACACATGATAAATCTTTACAGATGTTCCAGTGAATCATTTTGGTGATTGTGTTATGTCATTGTTTATCATCAGTTTGTGCAATCTTCTTACACAAACTGAGTGTGTGTTCTACAGTTTCTTCTGCCTCTTTGTACATCTGTATTTTGAATCATTTAATGATTTTTCAATTCTGCCCTTGATTGCATTAGTTTGAATAGCTTGCTCTTGAGCAGCCAAAAATCAAGCTTTCCATTTTTTTTAATGTTCCAGTTATATGCAAAATTTTATTTTTATATCTTTATTCTACTTTTCCCTCAACCTTTTGTAGAAATTGACTATGTAATGTTTTCCTTACCACAAGGAATTTATTATTACTACTGTTATTCCTTATGGATTCTCTACAAGTCCGACAAGAGTATTCTGCCCTGTTCTTTTCTCCTCCTTTGTTTTTGCAGTCAGTATTAACAAGAAGGAGAGATCAAGCCCAAAGCCCCTGATCTATAGGGTACCAGAATGTTTAATGCTCTTAATCCTCCTTTTAACATCTATATGAGATCACTGAGTGAGGTCATCTGTCAACTGGGGTCAAATATCATCAGTACCATGATGATAGCTAGCTATACATTTCAATCCCAAGTTGACCGAGTGATGTTGTCCAAGTTTTGTCCCGGTGCCTGGAGACTGTTGAAGTGTGGATGGGAGGGGGAGAAACAGACTCAGGCTCAACCTTAGCAAGACTGGATGGCTGTCGCTGTCTTGAGGCACTTGGAGCTGGAGTCCTTGACTTTTAGTTTCGGATGAGATTGAACTTCTCCACTTGGAACTGGTGCATAATCTGGGGCTCCTCCTGAACTTTCAGCGCCTGCTCAAAAAATAATGGAAACTATAGCCAGGAGGGGCTTTGCACAAATTCATCTTGTGTACCATTTGAGCCAATTCCTGGGGTCACTCGTGGTCACTCACACTTTGGTCACCCTGCGCATGGACTTTACAATGCAGTCTATGTGGTTCTGCCCTGAGGACTACTCAGAAGCTGCAATGAGTTCAGAATGCCACAGTACAGGCACTAAGGGATATTCCTTTTTATATCTGTTTTGTTATGGTACCTCCCCTCTGGAACAATATCCCCCCCCCGAGGTCTGGATGGTCCCCATCCTGTGTTCTTTGGATGTGCCCTGAAGACCTGGCTCTCTTCCTAGACTTTGGGCTAGGATGGGGGGGGGGCTCAAGGATATGATTGTGTTAAAACAGCGGTTCTCAACCTGTGGGTCGCGACCCCATTTGGGGTCGAACGACCATTTTACGGGGGTCGCCAAACAAGGCTGTCTGCCATTTTTTCCCCCTTTTCTTTAGCTGTGCTACTCCGTCTCTTCCCTGCTGAGCCCGCCAAAAGCCCCAGTCTGCAAACGGTGCTGCAAGTTGTCTGCAGCGAAGGCGAGCTGTCTGGAAGCTTCCACCCCTCCCTGCTGAGCAACTACTAAAAATGTAAGTAAAAGAGGGCCAGGGGTGGGAGGTGGGAGGCCGGCGGGCGCAGGGAGGGTTGCTGGTGCCTTACCTGCCTTGGGCTGGGCCAGCTGGTGGCCCAGCCAGTGGTCGGCCTGCGCCGTCGCTGCCGCTTGCCGTGGCTGCCCAGGAGCGCCTGAGCCTGCCTGCCACCACCCCAAACGGGCAGTGGCCAAGGTAAGGCTAGCACAGGGAAGGTTGCTGGTGCGCGTGGGGCCCAGTGGGTGCCTTGCCTGCCTTGGGCTGGGTCAGCTGGTGGCCCAGCCGGTGGTCGCCCTGCGCCATCGCTGCCCCTTGCCAGCTACGCCTCGGCCAGCGCAGGGGGGTGGCACCACGCATGCGCGGCGTTCCCAGGCAGGGAAAGTCCTCGACTTACAACCAGTTGGGTAGTCCTCAACTTACAACCGGTTGGGTAGTCCTCGACTTACGACCGGTTGGGGGTTGCGGCATTAAAAAGGTTGAGAACCATTGTGTTAAAAGAACATGGGGTTTTCCCTCTGAGCTAATCTTTTTTTTGCTGATTGGGTTGTCTTCTTGCCTGTTTTTATTCTTATACACTACCCTAAATTGTTTGGAGTTGAGAGGCCTGATAAATGTATTTTAAAATAACATAAAATCAGACAAATATTTTCTTCCAAAATACTCAATTCTCTTTCCCATTTGCCACTCGCCTAGCAGACAGTCAGTATTCCTTGTCCATGGGCAAAGTTCAGTTCTTATTGGGCTGGCTTGCCCCTCAACAGCATTTATTGCTTAAATATTTCTTTTTACTTCTTGAAAGCATCTGCTTCTGCAAATATGCCAATGTTTTTCTCTAGTCAGG